CCTCCCCCCCCCGCGCCCGCACCAGCGCGGGTCCCTTTTGCTACAAAATTCTCGCCCCTTGTCTCAGTCTCCTCGGTAATTGTTCCCGGGGCTGGTGGGCTCGGGCTCTGCCTCTCCCCCTCTCTCCTCTCCTCTCCTCTCCTCTCTCTCTCTCCAGCGTCAAACTCCTCGGCTCCTGCAGGCGGGTGCCAAACGCAGAGCTCTAGCGCCCACTATTTCAAAACCCAGGAATATTATTTCACAAGACTTGGAACGACTCAATAAAAAAAAAAGTTGCTCCCCGGCCCGCAGGACGGTGCCACCGGGGCTCTGCTCGCCGCGCTGCGCCTCGCTCCTCGCCAGCGCGCACGGAGCGGGGTGGACAGCGGGGCTCTCATCTATTCCGCGGGAGGAAGGAGAAAGGGCACGAAAAGGGGGCTCCCGCCCGGCACTGGCCCCCGCAGCCCAGCTCCTCCGCGGCACGGATCCTGCGGGACCCGCGCGGGGACTTGGGGAGCGGAAGAACGAAAAGAAAGAACCTACTTTTGGGCAGTTTTCTCGCCCTCGCCTTGGATCTCATCTTGTCGGCTTGTGGATTCTTCTCCTCCCTCCTTGAGCCCAGAAGCAGCTACACACTATCTTCATCTCCCAAGCATTGTCAGTTTGGACACCTTCGCACATGCGCACAGAGCATTCAATCTGACACCCTCACCAGGGCCAAAAAAAGTTTCCAATGTATTCATCATCATCAGGTTTTTTTTTTTGTCCTATCCTCTTCTTCAGATCACTTATCTCTCCCCCCCCCCTCTCTCTCAGCACCATCAGAGCCTTTCCCTGATCTGCCCCTTTAAGAAAAATCAGCCCGCTCTCCTCCTTACTCTCCGCACACTGACCTTACACACTGGACAATATTTAAGGATCAAGGTGCCATCCTATAAAGAGGTGATTATTATGATTATTATTATTGTTATTATTATTATTATTCTTTCCTCGAGCTGCTGTAGCAGGGACTTGCAGAGTGGGGCTCGCTCGGTAATTGCACGTATTTTAAACATGCTTTTTAATGAAAGGGAAAAACTATTGGAAAAAAAAAAAGATTTTCTGTAACTTTTCACGCAAGGCTTTTTCTTCTTCTTTTGCCTTTTTTTCCCCCCGCGGGCTCGGGGGTGCGTGGGGCTGTTTGCAGCGTTGTTTGAGATTTGCATCCTGCTGTCATTTAACGCTTTGCACCAGAATATTTCTTTTGAACTCCGCCGCTAGAGAATGCCTTGGCTTTCCACCCAGAATTGATTCCTGCATATTTTTATTAAAATTTGAAACAACATCGGTTTGTTACTTTTATCTTTGTCTTCTTTTCATTTCTTCCCCCGCCCTTTTTCCTTTTATTTTTTTTCCCCTTTTTTCTTTTTTTCTTTTTTGTGGTTTTTCCTGTTGGCTACCTGTGTCCCCGCTGTCAATTAAACCGGGTGTTAATTAGACATTTGCATGTGGGCAACAGTGTTACCTGCTCGGCACTGCCGTGTGTTATTTGTATGTGCCCTTGAGTTTGCTGCTGATCGGGCAAAGGGGACCAAGGATCCTCTCCAGTGCGGGACCGCTTCGCCAGAGACAGTCACCGTCTGGGCAGTTTGGCGCGGCGTGTGTGCTTGTCCTCTGCTTTTCAAGGTAATGAATTAAGCCCTAAGAATTGTTTTAAAAGGAGAAAGGGAATAAATAGCTCTCTGTGTTTTTTCCTTAAAGGGACTGGAAATACAGGTCCTGGGTGCTGCGGTAAAGGGAGACACAGGCTCGGCGTAGATTTGGGCTTGCAACTGGGCTTCCCCGGGTTCCTGTGTCAGTGCTGGACATTTGCCCCCAGATCCTCCTCCCGAGGGCGACCCCTTGTCTGGCCTGAGGCTGTCCCTGTTGGGGCAGAGGGGAGATGCTGCTGCAGGGCTGGGAAGAGCAGCCGGCACCCTGCCCTGTCTTGGAGGAGACAAGCATGAATCTTGCGCTGCTTTTCATTTGCGTGTGTAGGTGCTGCGGTCCAGCCATTTGCGAACGTATTAGCGGTCGCCTCATTTGGGGATATTTTAATGCTGACCCCCCACACTTCTAAACGCTCCCCCCACAACCCAAGCAAAAGCAGAGAGGAAAAAACAAGTGGTCCCTGCCCAGCACTTGGAGTTGTCCGTGATCCCCGGAAGTGGAGGGACAGACAGAGCAGACAGATCCTCTTTGAAGAAAGGAGCGAAGTGTAAATAGCTCGGTGATTGATGTGCTGCCTTTGACTGCGGAGAAAGCACTATTTGAATTCAAGTGGCCAGGTCAGATGGTCACGGAAGAAGGTTGAAAGGTAGGATTTAATGAGATTAATATGGAGAGGGCGCGAGAGCCAGGCTTCCCAAGCGCTCCCGCCTAGGACCCGGGCAGGGCCAGGGCCGCCGCGGGCACTGGCGGGGCAACCCCGTCGGGACGCAGCGCGGGGGGCACCCGCAGCCCCGCGCCCCAGGGCCCCGCACACACAAAGGCCGCGCGAGCTGGGTGCCCCGGCGCCCTGCTGGAAGCCGTCCTGCCCGCTGCACTCCTGCCCTGCAGGTGGAAGGAGGGGGGACGATTCCTGCTAATTACTGCCTTTCCCCCTCCTTACTCCGCTCTTTAATTGCAGACTGGAGCAGGGCCCTCGGAGGGGCTCTTAGAGGCTCGCAATAACTGGAGGGTGAGAAGGGGGTGGGGAAAGAGCTCGAAAATCAACGAAATGGGTTTTAGGGAAACTTCCAGCCACGTGTCGCCTAAAACGTGGAAATGCCGAGCGCAGATTCCCCCCCTCGAAAAGGCTTTTGATATCCAGGGAGCGCGCGGCCCCGGAGGGCTGAAAACCAAGTTGTTTGCCTCTCTCCGAGGTTTCCACGCAACTGAAATATTCCTTACAACGATCTTGGAGCCTGGGTATCTCCCACGTCCCTAAAATGGGCTGGAAACGGGAGACCCAGAGCTTGGCTTTAAAAGCAAACATGTTCTCGTTCATTTCTCGCCCTTCGTATTATATAAACTATTCGATGGTTGTGCAGAAAAGACGTGCAAAAACAAAATTAAAAAAAATCAAAGTTTGTGGGTGATTTTCCCAAACGGCATTTAAAAAAACAAACCCCACCGCGATTAACAAAAATACGTTGTTTTCCAGGCCAGTGAGCCAGGAACCAGGGTCGAAGGGTGAGCGGCTTTTCACCATGCAGTGGGTAAAATCATGTTCTTGCTAATGGCGCCCCAGTGTTGGGCTTGTTCCCCCCGACCATCCCTTTTCTGTTTCTCTCCCTCTCCAGAGAACAGTGTAGGCGGACAGCTCTGGGTCGGGACCCGCGGAAGGTGCATCTGGCCAGGTTCAGTGCCCCGCGGCGGAGGCTGCCCCGCAGAGCCCGTCGGGGAGAGCCCCGGTGTCAGCGCCGCGGTGCACTCAGGTGCGTGTGCGCCTCACCTGCGGGGAAAGGGAGGCAATGCTAAGATTTGTGCATATCCATCCTCCTTGCTTTGGCCCCAACCCCATCCCCAGCCAGCGCCTCTCCATGGCATGTCTCGGAGACCAGCTCCCCGCCCGAAATAGAAAGTAAGAAACGTCCCCGAAAGGAGCCGAGTGCTGCGGGCGAGCCGGCCCCGGGCACCGATCCCCTCTCCGCCCGGACGCTCAGCCCGCATCGAGCCCAGTCGGACCCGCACGTCTATTCTCTTTCGAAGGATTTCTTTTATTTTGATTTGTCAAATTGGAGTTTTGCAAATTACAGCAAGGAAACACGGTTCCAAACAAAGCCAAGGAGTCGCCGGGCTCTTGCTCGAGCAGGGGCGAAGAACCTGGAAACACGCAGCCTTGGCTCCGCTTGGAAATGATTTCCCTTGCTCCAATTCATGCAGTAAATGTACAAGATGGATCAGTGTAAATGTTACAACAGGGATCGAAAAGGTTTCTCCCTTGCACTCGCCCCCCCACTCCTCCCCTTGCCGTCTGATCTGCACTACGCTGCGGAGAGGGCCCTAGCCCGCGTCCCCCGCACGCACACACGCGCTTTCCCCTGCGAAAAGCCCTAGTGACGGCGCGTCGGCGCTCGGGGTTTCATTCATTTATTTATTTCCAGGGAAGGAAAAAAAAATATGAATAATAAAAAGCCCGGAACGAATCTCCGACTCGATTTGTGGTTTCCTGCCAAGGGGAGGAGGGAGGAACGGGAAAGGACTGCAAACGCCAAAGAGATCTTCTCCGCCCCGGCTCGGAGCGCCCCTCCAGCCTTCCCGCTTCCCCGCCTGCACGTGTGTGCGTCTGCCCCCTAAACCCGCACTAAATGCTTCTGCTCGGCATCTCCCGGGTCCCTGCCCGCAGGCTCCCGCGCGAGCTCCATGCGTGGGTCCGGCCCCTCCCCTCCCCTCCCCTCCCCTCCCCAGGGGGCTCCGACCCGAGTGCTCGGGGGAGGTGCGGGCTGCCGCGGGGCAGGCGCTTGCTGCTGCCTCCCGCGCAGCCCTGTGTTTGCACCTGTCGGAGCCAGTGTCTCGCACGAAGCAGACAGAGGGTCGGTCATTCCCGAGGGAGCTGCTCCGCCCGCGGCTCTGCGCGGTCCAGCATGCGGGGAGAGGAGGGGAGATGCGTGGGCGGGCGAGCACCACGGGGGGAAACCTGCCCTGGCCGGAGCGTGGCCGGGCCGACGGGGTGCAGGACCTCAGCGGCTCCTGCCCCCGGGGATAACAGGCCAGGCCAGGAGACAACCCTGCCCGGGAAAGGCGCTCTCGCTGTCAAACCCTCGCAGGGGGGGAGACCTGCCTGCAGATGCCACCCCGTGACCCCTCCCTGTCTTCAGCCTGCCCTTCCCCGATGTCTGAGGCACGCGTGTGCTGTCACACGTCGGGGCAGCTGGCCCGGCCCGGCAGCGCCCTGCCTCCCGTGCTCCCGAGCCCCGTGCCCGCCACCCCGCACAGCCCGCCCGGGGTTCCCACCGCCTC